AGCTGGGGCGACACAAGAGGGGACGATTTAAATGCGCTGCAAATCCAATCCAAGTGCTGTGAAGAGGATTGTTGAGCATTGATTTCGAGGATCCGAAGGGTCTGGAGGCTGGGAAGAGCTTGGAGAAAGGAACCCCACCGCGCTGCGTCTCCCTGCCGGACTATCAGGAATTGAAGGGAAATCGAAAGGCTCGTGATACGGGATTGGAGTGCACCGCTGAGTACGGTGACGAAGGTGAGGTACGAGGAAAGGCTCACAGAGACGTAGTCGTCTCTATTTGCATGCACGATGCAGCGGCAAGAGGTTGGTCGCGCCAGAGAGGTGTCCGTCCCGAGGAGGGCGACACTCTCCATAAGCTTTCCACTTGAGACGGTACCGTGCAGCTTGACCTCCAACCCACACGTGCAGTCTCGCAATTGCGCCGCAAAACCAGATCCATCGACCAGTGAATTATGCTCGCCCACGTCACATGCCATATAGATCTCTCCCTTGCGCACATTGGGCATCCCAATGATGTGGTGAATCGCTTCCAACGCTGCGGCGGATATATCCAAGGCCGTGAATTCGATGAGATTAGGGAGCTCGACCCGCGGAAATTTGGCTGCTTCGGCGACGACTTCAGTGATGAGATGATCGCTATCAGGATCATAGTCGTGGCAAAATAATGCAAGAGACTCTACAGCGCGTAGGCTGCGGAGGTAGGGAAGGATGAACACCTTGAACACTTGGAACGAACAGCACGTGTAGGTCAAGTGGACGTTCTTGACCATGGAGAGATCCGTCGCGGTACTGAGAAAGACGTTGACGAGGCTCAACGTATGCAAACGTGGATGATTGAGCGGAGTGTGAAAAACAACAGGGTCTCCGAATTCCCCGCCCCATTCAATCGGGATCTCGAGCGAGAGTGTTTCCAGACCAAGGAAGGTGGTATTCTCCTCCACGAACTGCCGGATGAACCAGTTAACGGAGCCTTCATAGCCTGTGATATGAATGGTGGTGAGCCGATCCATGGAAGGGAGGAGCGCCTCGCGAATGATGAACACGTCGTCATCGTTTTCATCCTCAACGTGACCGCGGAGGTGGAGTGGGATGAGGGCACCGCAATGATCGAGACACCATCGGACGGCCGTCGGGTTGCGTATGTCGAGGCGAGACCAGAGGGCGGACATGACGTCTGCGGTTGCCTTCCATAGCTTGCAAACAGCTCGCAGGGTGGTGACCGTCTTGTAGACGTGGTCGCTGAAGTCGTTCTCCTGGTTCCAAAATTGTACCTGGCCAACATCCTGAACCGTAGCCGCCATAATCTCCGCCAACATCTCCACGGGAAGCTTCTCGTGCATGTAGCAGGGACCTTCGATGAGGGAATGGGGAGTACCCGGATGGGCAAGGCCGAAAGGGTCGTCCTGTCTGACGTTGGTGAAGTCGTCTTGGTCCAGGTTTCTGAAAATGTTCTTCCAGTCGATATCGGTCGGAAGGAGGGAGATGAGAGCTTGATTATGCGCTGGATGAGAGGCCGAGTCAGTTTGGCCAACTCGTAAGAAGGCTGGCGGACGCACCTTGCTGCCTGGCACGGGCCCTGGCACGCATATCGGAAGCCGAAGCCATCGTTGAGTACAGGGAAAGATGTGGAGGGCGAGACAAGAAGGAAAATGCGCTAGAGAGAAGAGAGAGTCGAGGAGCAGTTTATATGAGCGACATCGGAGGGCCAAAGAGGAATGAAAGCGCATTGTCCGAACGATGGCCAGAGTCGATGATCTGGGTTTGAACTTGAAAGAATTGCCATATCTAGCCGGGGCCATCGGCAAAAAATGTGGCGCGTTCGGCACGTGTATATTGACGCTCGCTCTTCCCTGGCTTTTTTCGCATTCCTAAAATCCTAGAGGCCCGTGAAGATGCTGTCAAGTCTTGGTCCAAGGTGTCTATCCAATAAATATAGCGAGATGGGGTAAACATGACAGATGCGTAGGGAACCAGAGGGCCAGGCACCGCAGCTGCGAGTGGTTTGGGGACAGAAGGCTGCTTGCATGTGAAATACGCATGGGCCATGGCCAACTTTGGGGTGCGCTGCCTTCCCCCGACTCTTTGTCGACGGACAATAGGTTCGGCTACGCATTCATGAAGATCGAGCAACGAGCAACGCAAATCTGATCCAGATTCAGAAAAACTAAAGAGATACACGTGTCGATCGGACGTACTAGTGACGAAGTAGACAATAGTCGTAGCAGCGATTCCTCTATGAGACGAAAGGGAGTGGTTGTCGTGGCATCGTGACTAGGCAGAGCAATTAAGCAGTGTGGTATACATTATACAGCAGGTTGGAAGTTCGGTTGGGAATCAGTTGGGTCCGACGAATTGGTATAGGATACGGCGCACAAGGCCGGAGAGGTGCTCGGGGTCGTTCTGAGGGCAAAGGGTCAGATACTGGTAAAGGGAAAAAGCGAACGCGAACCGACCTGGTATATACTCTGCAAACGCGACGCGTAAGTTGGAGAAGCTAATGCTGAGTGAGAAAGAAAAGTGACTTACCATGACCATTCCCATACCGAGAGAAGTCAACTGTCAAAGGAAAGCACACATCAGCTTCCTATCATCCTCAACCTGCACCAAACTTACAATCATATCCCCAACGCTACCCGTGTGGAACGCATAACCCTTCCCTCTCGCCATTATCCACGCCGCCTCCAATCCACGGGGCAAGACGTACATGGCCAACTCGGATCTCCTACGCTTCTCTTCGACGAATACGGAGAGACCGCACATGAGTCCGCCGAGCCAGTACGCGGGCTTGGAGACGAGGAAGTCGAGGAACGCGTGTGGGACGAGGCGCGCGAGGGAGGAGAGGATGCCGAACGAGGCGGGGTGAGAGCTGAGGTAGTTCGTGGTGAGGAAGAAGTTGCGTTTACCGCAGAGCCACGCTGGAAAAAAAAGAATGACAAGGCGTTACAATGGTTCGTTGGATGTGAGATGAGATGGACGTACAGTGGTATATGATCACAAAAATGCCCAAGAATGCAGAACTGCGCATGGTGCCCAGGAACGCGCGAAGCAGCATCTTGACAGGCTTCGACATGATCGCTTCCCGCTTGAACAGTAGCGTCGGGATGAAGTGTAGCGCGCCGTAGATAGGCAGCATTAGACGAACAGTCTTGAAGAAGAAGTGGACTTGGGCGGTGAGACAGGAATCCATGTCCGGGTGGATTACAGCGCAAGGAGTTAAGGACGGTCCGTAAAAAGGTGTTGGCAGCTCAGCGAGCTCGCGGGCGTGGGCAAGGCGAGTAGCATTGCGAGCAGTAATGTTCTGTATTTTCGTTGATGAGCTGCCAAGCAGCAAGCATAGGTGGAGGAATACACATACGGCTCTGTTCATGATGATGTCGATATCGTTGAGGTTGAAGTTGTTGTCTCGGACCATCGTCTTGTTGATGTTCACGCCTTGCGGCGACACATGACATGCATGACCAATCCTGTCGGAGCGTGAGGACAAGGGCTTTGAATGATTCGGGGACAACTTACCAGACACTATACCAGCGCGGTAGGGTATCTGGCCTCATGGTGAAACCGTACATGATTTGAGCACAACTGAGTCCATGAAACGAGTCAGACCTCAGTCTTAAACACGCAGAAATTACCCACGTACCATAATGCAAACACAATGACATCTCCATGGGGTAAACTGAAGTTGAATTTGTCCGAAACAGTATTGAACGCTCCCTGCAAACCTCTGACGAGATGACGACAGTATGTCAGACGGAGTGTTTACGCTCACGATAGTCCTGCGTACCTCACAAAAAGCTGCTGCGCAATTCCCATTCTCCTATCAGCACTCTCGCATCGAATCGCAATTCCACCGGCAATGGCTCCAGCGACGATGGAATACCACCGACGTGTTTTCTTGTGCAGCCAGTCTTGATGGGCTTGAGCAGACGTGGACAGTCGAGCACGTCTTTTGTCGCGAGGGACAGACAGAGTATCGTCAGTCTCCTCCTCCTCGATGGCCGTGAACGTGTTGGCATCCCTCTGTTGCGAGCGCATTCGTGCGCGGAACTGTGACGTGAGTTGGGTATCAGAGCCCTCAGGCCCCGGGAGCAGGATAGGGAGCATGTTCAGTATAAGTTTATACAGCCCAACGAAGGAACCTAGAATCAGAGGAGGCTGATTGAGTATAAGCGGATCAGACGACGGTGTGTAAATTCCTCACCAATCATGGCAGCGAAGCGCAGAGGCTCTTCACCGAATAGAGCATGCCTGATGAGACGAAACCGTGTCGACCTGTGAAAGTGTCACTGTGTCAGACAATATACGTTGATGATCCATTGCAGCGCAGACGAACCGAGGGACTTTGCCAATCCTCGTCAGCAGCAGGAAGAAGTTGATACCTGCTCGAATAGCAAATGCTAGACTGCCCGCCCCTACAGGTCGTCCGTCAGTGAGACCATTTATGATACAGGCAGGCTAAGGGCACGTACTCAATCCGCCCCTGCTCGCATGCTCGATGCACTCCCAGTAATCACAGACCTCCACCGGCTTCTCTCCGCGGTCTCTCCAAACGGCTTTCTTTGCCCCACGAAGCCGCTCCTCGTAGTTGGCAAGCACGACCAAGTTTTCGAACGAAGTCATGGCGCGTTTCGGGACGAACTGGATGTAGGACGGGGCTCGCGACATGGCTGGGGATGATGTGGAGGGCGTCGTGTCTTCGTTCGTGTGATTATAAGGCGAGTCGCACATTATGATTACGGTACGGGTATGTCGGAAGAGACCTGGAAAGGCGTAAGACGAGAAGCTGGGGGATCATAGAGATGGGGAACCTCAGACGCCTCGAAAGCGCAGAGGTCAGCGTGTCATAGAGCTGCCCAGCTCGAGTCGTTCAAGCAGCTGATTGTCGTCGTTCACAGAAAACCAATTGCGAGTCAGGTCGCTCGACCGGAGCATCAGAATTAGACTGAATGTGCTGCGTTCAGCGACTGCCCATTATTTTGTCATCGCGCAGCGCCTATCACATCGGTGCTATAGTGTAGTGGTCTATCACTTGGGATTTTGATCACCTGTTCAATCTTCCCATAACCCAGGTTCGAACCCTGGTAGCACCTTTTTGTTGATTGCAACATTGGTTCATTTGCTCAGTTCCCATAACCTAGGTTCGAATTTTGGTAGTACCTTTGCAGTAGAGACAGGTAACTGGCTTCGTCATTGTAGATGTCGATATATTTTTTCTTGTCGATTTCAGCTTCTATCAATACTCAATGTTCAGCACCGTTATCCGCCTCAACCCTCTAAACACGAGTACTCGAATCATTTACAATGCGGCCGCCAACTCATCCACAAGTGGAATAACGACTGCTTCACCACACAGTCCAACCTTGGTATCCTCTTCGACCTTTGGAAGCAGCGGCACCATTCTGGTCTCCTGAAATTCCAGCCCTTTACTCCCAAAGTACCTCCCACTCTCAAAGTTCCAGCATACGTTGCACCTCGGCCAATTCGCCAGCCCGTAGAGATACATCTGTACCTGCGCGTCCTTGTCCTGGTCACCAAAGGACGGGACGTGAGTGAGCGTGCGGAGGAAATTGGCTTTGAGCTCGTCGTGGTATTTGGTCACCCAATGGTTGGCGCCGTCGAAGTCGGTGTTGAACTGGCGCATGACGACCGTGATGATGTTGTACCGGTCGTCTCCCATAGCTTGCTCCTTGTTGTAAGAGGCCATATCCTGTTATTTAAGACAAGGCTATCAGAGACGACATAATGCGTGGCGGGACGGCAAGCGGCACGTACATTGTCGAGAATGACCATGTCTCCGACGTAGAGCCTCAGTTGGTCGATGACGGGATGATAAAACACGTCATCCGTCAGATTTAACCCCAACTCAATGGGCACGAAAGACGGGCGTATCCCAATGTTCTGGCGGCGCTTGTGAAGATACTCCTCCACGGTGTTGCAGGTGTCACTATCGCGGTCTATGGCTTGCTGGACGACCGAGTTGAGGTAGTCGGTGAACGCCTCAATCATATGCTTCTGTGCGGGAGCACTGGCAGACTTGACAGCCAAACTCCAGAATCTGCAGACGCACGGTACCTGTCAAACCCGTGACTTATAGAGATGGGCTGCATACTCACTGGCGGGCGGCCTCTCCGACGACAGTTTCGCCTTCGGGACGAGGTTTGTTGGGATGGGTCATTGCGTCTATGACAATGCCGGCGATCTCGCGGACGACTGGGGCCGGTTCTACGTCCGTGTACTCGTCGATGAGGAAGAAGAAGTTCATCAGGTCGCACCCCGTGCGTAGATGCTCTATAAGGACATCGTGAGTGAGATCCGTGTATAGTGTCGCTGACGAGAGAATCAGGACGTAAGTACCTGGAGATGCACGCGGATACGCCAATGCGGCCAAGAGCCCTGTGTTCCGCCGATCAGCTTTCTGTCAAACTCGCGTGTTGAGCCATTCATACACACCAAAGTCGCACTTGTCAAACGCGTACTGAGACTTGGGATTGAACGCGTTGAAGCTGTGGAACCACGCGTTGGACGCGGCTTTCACCTCTTCGTGGTGCGGGTTGATGGCTCGCGGCCATGGCCAGTTGACCAACGTGTCCGGGAGATAGAGCATCTTGGGCAGAGCGGCCTGAGACATGTCGTTTGATCTTTGCAGGTAGATGAGTTGAGGTTGTTGGGTACTGTCTAGCATTTTCGACACTCACCTTTTATCGTTGACTCTTACGGCCATGTGTTGAGAATATGTTCGCGCTTCAAGCCGCCGTCAGATCGGAAATTGTGACTCGGGAGAGAAAATCGAACAACGAATGAGACGACTCAGACAAGTGCTCTGCTTAAGATCATCCGTGGATCATCGGACGAAAAAACGTTCTGCCATGAGAGACCGTGTCAGCGGAGCGTATACGTGGAAAGGAGATATGATAGGTTTACATGCTTGAACCAAGATTCTGCTTGTTCGTCTGGTGGCTCAAAACTACGATCTTGACTCGATGTCACTTGTGAGCACTATGAGTTGCTTGCAGACTTGAAGAGGGGACACAAACTTCAGGATCCAAGGACGAAAATCACAAAAGGAATCGGTGGCACGTATTGACAGACCTAAGGGTTCTGTATTCAACGTTCAGCCGGCCGCCTGGACTGAGTGGGTAGAGAAGACGTACTTGTAAGCGGATCGGACGTTGAGTCATGAAGCTCGGTGTCGAAGAAGCAGACGGTTTCTACAAGGCTGGCACAATGGGTGACCCAGCTTCCCGCACGAATCGACTCGGTGTTCTCTAGCCGGTGCGTTGAAGCATGGAAGACATCGCATCGCCTTTGCTTTGTCTTCGAAGGGCGTACACCCAGACCGTGACCTGTCAGCGTTCACTTCGTTCAGCACAACTACGACTTGTGTAAGCTGTCCATCACGTACCATGGTGACCACGTGACGTTCAGAAGTTCCAAGACAGCGTCGTCGAATCGCTGACCGAATGCATTCGCTCAAGCCGCAACGTGCGCTGATTCCTGCGTTACGCCACACGGGCAGAGTGGTCGCAGTTATCGTAGCACTCAACAGCTTGAACCGAGTGCGCAGTCCATCTCGTGGCGCCGTATGCTTCTCCTGAGAATGAGCAGGTGTGAGTAGTATTCATGAGCGGTACACTAAGGAGCGCTTTACAGATCCATTGCACGCCGTCGGAATTGATAGAGGCTCAAGGCTTCAAAATATTCCAGGGTCTTCGACCCGTACGGATGAGCTCTGCAGGCATATCAAGTCAGATGCTGGTCGAGAAGTCGATAGGATTGCAGAGCCCTGCAGCTCACCTGTCCGGGGATATGTCGCTGTCTCTATGTTGAGAGTTAACCCTGGTTTGCCGTGAGAGAACATCGGCAGAAGCTCTTCTCAAGGCTTTGCAGCAAAAAGCAGAGTCAAAGTAGTGTCGAGGGTACGGTAAGAAACCCAAGAACCCCGAGCACCATCGCAACATGCGCCACGTGGCTACCGTAACCAAGCGTCTCCTCTTCCCGACTCGGTCTTTCGGACCGCAAACTCGCGACCACGACTCTATTTCTCTCTCCCTCTCTCCCCCTCTCTGTGCGATTCCGTTTCTGGCCACGAAAGCAAGTTGAAAGGGCCCACGCTCACTTACGAGCTCCTTGCCTCCTTTCTCGATCCCTGTCCTCGTCACACCGTTCAATCTCTTCGTTTTCTTCCGAAACGTATCCCTGCAAAATCCCTGAGTTTTCACGTGTTTCTTTATCAATATCGTCCACGTATTTCCGGCAACCCGAGGTGTCTTTTCTTCCGGAAATAACACAGTCGAATGTTTCTGACCTCTCTTCGAACCTCCCCTCACCTCAACCTCACCTTCCTCAAAAGACACACCAATCTAGCGCTAGCAAAGACGTCGACCATCTCGCTGTCAAATCGCTCTGACGAATCTATCCCCCTGCCCAGTCCGCTGGGAGCTTCGGATTTGCCGATTTGATATGCTTTTCTTTATCGCCGGTGCCCAGGGCGATATAGCCTGAGCCATTCGGAACGCTTTGATCTCGTATAAAAGGAGAAGAGCGACTCGGACTCGCCAGTGCACGTTTTTTCACCGCCCTCTCCACGACCTCTCCCGCTGCCGACATCCTCAATCATCAATAGCGCGCAGACGACACTGAAAAGCAGAGCCCAAGCATGTCTGTGGCGCGTATCCCTCGCTCTTCCCCGCTCCTCCGAGCTCTGTCAGTAGGCAAGGCTGCAGAGATGCTCGGTCCTCTCTTCCAAGCTTTGCCTTCCGTCCTCAAATGGGCCGCCGCACTCGTGTTTGTCTTTAACATTCGTTCATGGCCATTATTTTGGCACTGTGAGTTCTGTTCTCTGTCGCTTCCGGTCCATGTTCCTCATGATGCGTTCTCAGTCAGGATTTACAGCACAATATGGCGATATCACCGACTTTTGTTGAGTGCGAGACTTCGATTGCTCGGTGCATCACCGAAAGCGAAGCAGAGTGGTCTGGAGAAGTTCTATGAGTCGCGGTTGCATCTGGGAGAGAGCCCTTTTGACAGGGTGTACGTCTGGAAAGAATGGGCAGGTGCGTAGCGTCAAGTCTCCCTCTATTTATTGAAGTCTAACCTTGGTGTGTGGCGATCTTCAGGCCCGGATGACTGTGATTTCAACATGCATCTCAGTAATTCTTGCTATGCCAAAGTGAGTATCCTCTTCTCTACGAGCTTTGGGTCAACGCCTGACGCGTGGATCAGCATTTGGATGTGGCGCGGTTCGATGCTGCTATTCAGATGCTCCAGACTGGCTTCTTCTCTGGCGCATGGACTGCTCTTGGAGGTGCGTCCCGAATTGTCCTTATGACCGTCTGACGTATTCGCTCATGATGCATTTCCAGCTACGCACTACAAATTCATCAAGGAGATTCCTATGTTTGCCCATTACGAGCTGAGGTCAAGTGTAGCAGCTTGGGACAACAAATGGGTATGAAGTCTTTCGCTACTATTGCATTTTGTATCCTTATACCACACCCAGATGTACGTCGTCACGCGCTACGTGACCCACCCGAACAAGAAGTCCAAGAAAGCCGGGTCCAAACATCCTGGCTCTGGCGACTCAACACCTCCTCTCGGACCTCCCTTCGTCCCGCCAATCCGGACACCTGCGACGACGCACGACACTCCTTCCTCCCTGCACCCGTACGACAGCGCGCTCCACGACCTTCTCGCCTCGCTCACACCACGTACTGAACCCGATGGCGCGACATTGCACTGCGTCGTCGTCTCCGAGCTCTGCCTCAAGATGGGGCGCATCACTATCCCTCCTGCCGTTGCGCTCGCGGTAGAAGGGTACGCTGGTCGTGCGCCTTCTGGAGAGAAGTACGATGCGACGAACAATGTGCACCCGCATTTGGAGAAGATACGGGCGTTGAAAGCGAAGGGCAATTTGAGGAGTGCGCAGGCGTTCTTCCGCGGTTCGTGGAAAGACTTGAAGGATCAGGACAGATGGTGGATGGATGTGCTTGGTGGGGACGTTGAGGAGCGGAGGCGGCGGAACTTGGATCTCGTGTCTGGAGTCCAGAGAGGGATGGAAGGTGCAAAGTACGTGTAGGGCTCTCACGTCGTG